GTGCCGGATTTCAAAGGGAATGCTTCCAGTTTTGGCCCATTCACTATGATATTGGCTGTTGGTTTGTCGTAAATGGCTCTTATTACTTTGAGATACGTTCCATCAATACCGAGTTTATTGAGGGTTTTTAGCATAAAGGGCTGTTGAATTTTGTCAAAGGCCTTCTCTGTGTCAATTGAGATAATCATGTGGTTTTTGTTTTTGGTTCTGTTTATGTGGTGAATTACATTTATAGACTTGCGTATGTTGAACCAGCCTTGCATCCCTGGGATGAATCCTACTTGATCATGATGGATAAGCTTTTTGATGCGCTATTGCAATCGGCTTGCTCGTATTTTATTGAAGATTTTTGCATCTATGTTCATCATGATATTGGCCTGAAGTTTTCTTTTCTTGTTGAGTCTCTGCCGGGTTTTGGTATCAGGATGATGTTGGTCTCATAAAATGATTTGGGAAGGATTCCCTCTTTTTGGATTATTTGGAATAGTTTCAGAAGGAATGTTACCAGCTCCTCTTTGTGTGTCTGGTAGAATTCGGCTGTGAACCCATCTGGACCTGGACTTTTTTTGTGTGGTAGGCTCTTAATTGCTGCCTCGACTTCAGACCTTGTTATTGGTCTATTCATAGTTTCGGCTTCCTCCTGGTTTAGGCTTGGGAGGACACAGGTGTCCAGGAATTTATCCATTTCTTCCAGCTTTACTAGTTTATGTGCATAGAGTTGTTTTTTATATTCTCTGATGATGGTTTGAATTTCTGTGGAATCTGTGGTGATTTTCCCTTTATTGTTTTTTATTGCATCTATTTGGTTGTTCTCTCTTTTCTTTGTTATCAGTCTGGCTAGTGGTCTGTCTATTTTGTTGATCTTTTAAAAAAAACCAGCTCTTGGATTTACTGATTTTTTGAAGGGTTTTTCGTATCTCTATCTCCTTCAGTTCAGCTCTGATCTTAGTTATTTCTTGTCTTCTGCTAGGTTTTGAGGTTTTTGATCTTGCTCCTCTAGCTCTTTCAATTTTATGCTAGGATGTCAATTTTGGATCTCTCCACTCTTCTTATATGGGCGCTTATTGCCATATATTTTCCTCTGGAGACTGCTTAAAATATGTCTCAGAGATTCTAGTATGTTGTGTCTTCGTTCTCGTTGGTTTCAAAGAACTTCTTTATTTCTGCCTTCATTTCATTGTTTATCCAGTCAACATTCAAGAGCCAGTTGTTCAGTTTCCATGAAGCTGTGCGGTTCTGAGTTAGTTTCTGAATTCTGAGTTCTAACTTGTTTGCACTGTGGTCTGAGAGACTGTTTGTTATTATGTCAGTTGTTTTGCATTTGCTGAGGAGTGCTTTACTTCCAATTATGTGGTCAATTTTAGAGTAAGTGTGATGTGGTGCTGAGAAGAATGTATATTCTGTGGATTTGGGGTGGAGAGTTCTGTAAATGTCTATCAGGTTTGCTTGTTCCAGGTCTGAGTTCAAGTCCTGGATATCCTTGTTAATTTTCTGTCTGGTTGATCTGTCTAATATTGACAGTGGAGTGTTAAAGTCTCCCACTATTATTGTGTGGGAGTCTAAGTCTCTTTGTAAGTCGTTAAGAACTTGCCATATATATCTGGGTGCTCCTGTATTGGGTCTGTATATATTTAGGATTGCTAGCTCTTCTTGTTGTATCGATCCTTTTATCATTATGTAATGTCCTTCTTTGTCTCTTTTGATCTTTGTTGCTTTAAAGTCTATTTTATCAGAGACGAGAATTGCAACTTTGGCTTTTTTTTTGCTGTCCATTTGCTTGGTAAATCTTCCTCCATCCCTTTATTTTGAGCCTTTGTGTATCCTTGCCTGTGAGATGGGTTTCCTGGATACAGCACACCGATGGGTTTTGGTTTTTTATCCAATTTGCCAGTCTGCGTCCTTTGATTGGTGCATTTAGCCCATTTACATTTAGGGTTAATATTGTTATGTGTGAATTTGATACTGCCATTTTGATGCTAACTGGCTGTTTTGCCCGTTAGTTGATGCTGATTCTTCATTTTGTTGATGCTCTTTAGCATTTGGTATGTTTTTGGAATGGCTGGTACTTGTTGTTCCTTTCTATGTGTAGTGCCTCTTTCAGGAGCACTTGTAAAGCAGGTCTGGTAGTGACAAACTCTCTGAGTGCTTGCTTGTTTGCAAAGGATTTTATTTTTCCTTCACTTATGAAGCTCAGTTTGGCTGGATATGAAATTCTGGGTTGAAAGTTCTTTTCTTTAAGGATGTTGAATATTGGCCCCTACTCTCTCCTGGCTTGTAGAGTTTCTGCCAAGAGATCTGCTGTGAGTCTGATGGGCTTCCCTTTGTGGGTGACCTGACCTTTCTCTTTGGCTCCCCTTAGTATTTTCTCCTTCATTTCAACCCTGGTGAATCTGACGATTATGTGCCTTGGAGTTGCTCTTCTTATGGAATATCTTTGTGGTGTTCTCTGTATTTCCTGGACTTGAATATTGGCCTGCCTTGCTAGGTTGGGGAAATTTTCCTGGATAATATCCTGAAGAGTATTTTCCAGCTTGGATTCATTCTCTTTGTCACATTCTGGTACACCTATCAAACGTAGGTTAGGTCTCTTTACATAGTCCGACATTTCTTGGAGACTTTGTTCATTCCTTTTTGCGCTTTTTCCTCTAATCTTGGTTTCTCATTTTATTTCATTGAGTTGATCTTCGACTTCTGATATTCTTTCTTCTGCTTGGTCAATTCGGCTGTTGAAACTTGTGCATGCTTTGTGAAGTTCTCGTGTTGTGTTTTTCAGCTCCTTCAATTCATTCATATTCCTCTCTAAGTTGTCCATTCTCGTTATCATTTCCTCAAATCTTTTTTCAAGGTTCTTAGTTTCTTTGCATTGATTTAGAACATGTTCTTTTAGCTTGCGGAAGTTTCTCGTTACCCACCTTCTGAAGTCTGATTCCATCATTTCATCACACTCTTTCTCCGTCCAGCTTTGTTCCCTTGGTGGTGAGGAGTTTTGGTCCTTTGTAGGAGGTGAGGTGTTTTGGTTTTAGGTGTTTTCCTCCTTTTTGTGCTGGTTTATTCCCATCTTTGTGGGTTTATCCACCTGTGGTCTGAGTAGTTGCTGACTTTTGGATTGGGTCTCTGAGTGGATGCCCAGATTGTTGATGATGAAGTATTTCTGTTACTTAGTTTTCCTTCTAACAGTCTAGCCCATCTGCTGTACAACTGCTGAGGTCCACTCCAGGCCCTGCTTCTCTGGGGTACACCTGTAGCAGCTGCAGAACAGTGAGGGATGCTACCAGTTTCTTCTTCTGCTATTTTTGTCCCAGAATGATGCCTGCCAAATGTCAGTCTGATCAGTCCTTTTTGAGGTGACTCTTTGGATATACAGGGGTCAGGGAGCTGCTTGAGGAGACAGTCTGTACTTTATAGGAGCTCAAGTGCTGAGCTGTGAGCTCCATTGTTCATTCAGGGCTGTTAGGCAGGTACGTTTAAGTCTGCTGCAGCAGAACTCATAAAACCCCTTTTTTTCCTCAGATGCTCTGTCTCGGGGAGTTAGAGCTTTCCTTATGAGTATCCATTGCATTGTCCTGCCCAGCTAGGAAGCAGTCTAGTCACTATTTGCCTGCTGAGGCTCTGCCCTGCTGCTGTGGGGTCTGCCCTTTTGCCGTGGGCTCCGACCTGCTGCTGTGGTCTCCGCCCTGTTGCTGTGGGCTCCACCCTGCTGCCAAGTGTAATTCCCTGTAGTACTGTTTATATGGATGTGGTTTAAACTGCTGTGGTGATGGTGGCCTGCCTCTGTATTGGCGGAGTCTCTCTGTTATGTCAGGTTGCCTTGGCAATGGCGGGCTGCATCAGCAATGGGAGTGTACCTCAGTAGGGGCAGAATGCCTCGGTAATAGCGGACACCCCTCCCCCACAGAGATGCACCATCCTGGGTTCAGCTGTGCCCACAGTGAAACTCTCAACCCTGAGTGTTTTGAATCACCATTTTGTTTGTCCATGTGGGGGTGGGACCCGCCGAGCCTGATCACCTGGCTCGCTGCCTCAGAGCCCTTTCTTTTTTTTAAGTTGAACAGTTGACTCTCTTTCAGGTGTTTCAGTCGCCTACTGATAGGACACCGGGATCTGTGTGATTTCCCTTGCAGCAACCCACTGCACTGGCTCAAACAGGGCATCCAGACCAGTGTGTTTTGTGTGGAGTACTGCTGTGCTGCGGCGCCAGCCAAAACAGCCGCGCCAGCTGAAACAGCTGCACTGGCATCCCGTGTCTCTCCTACACCTGGGAATTTCCCCATTCTGTGGGCAACAGAGATCCATCTGGAAATGCAGCTTGCACTCACCCTCTGCACCTTCACTGAGAGCTGCAATCCTGAGTTGCTCCTACCACACCATCTTCTTTTTCCCCCATTCTGGTAGCTCTTAAGACATTGTTGACTTAAGGAAATTGGCTTAGCAAGGAGATGTTTTCTTTCACATTATTGGAAGTCCAGAGGTGAGATTAGAAAGAGGAGCGGTATGGTTGTGCATATTGTCAACTCACACTTGAGCACTCGTGTAGACTTTTTCTTGTCTTGGTTCCACTCATCGTCATAAGATGTCTGCCTAAAGCACCTGGAGAAACACAATTGCTTGTTTTCAGCCAACAAGGGGAAGAATTACTTTAGATACCCAGATTTCTCTGCAAGCCTGTCTTTTTCTCTTATAGACCCAAACTGGCCAAGTTCACCCCATGTTTGGGTAAACCTCTAGCAGGGCACATGGAATTATCCTAGTTGGCTTAGGTTAGTCATTGAGGGTGGAATAAACATGAGAAATCAACCAAACAGCTTTCATTACTCAACCCCTTTGAGTTTTTTCTTCCTGTAAAATATCTAACTCATAGCTTGCTGAGAGAATTAAAAAGATCAAATGTATGTTGTACCTTCAATAATATTCGGCATATAGCAATTATTGAATGAAAAGAAGACATAACTGCTAAGATGACTTCATACACTGGGGGCATGGGGTACAGGAGACATACTCACCAGTAACAAACACCTGAGTGCCCTGACCTGATTGGTACTCCTTGATAGGTTTCCCTTTTATGAACTTCATGCAGTAATAGGTGTCAGCATCTGCAAGAGAGATTTCATGGATGCGGATGGAAAAGTCTGTGTTGCCAGGTCTGGTGGTGTCTCCAATCTTGTTTACTCTGGGAAAATGACCTTGTTTGAAATTGTAGATTAATTTCCGGTCTGGCCCTGTTCCCTTGAACCACAAGACAGGTCCATCTGGTAAGGTGTCTGGTACGCTGCAACTCAAGGCGATTGACTCCCCAGTTAATGCAGTCCGTGATAGCTCAGCTTGTTGCACATGGAACACACATGTGGCTCCTGGAACGAAACTGAAAATCATTTCTCATTTCTCCTGCTGTGGCTTAGGCATGGGTACAGGTCATGGTTGGGGCTCATTCATTAATTCTTTTAGTGGCATGTACAAATGCCCATTCACTGAGTAAAGAGAAGCCTTTGCATATGGAGGCAGCTTCTTCCCAGAGTGCTGAAGGAGGGGAGTCAGTCCAGAAGACCAGATGTATTCCTTCTCAGTTCCATTTCTGAGCCCTCAACCATGGTAAGAGGACAGGGAGGGAGAAGGTGGGAATTATCGATGGGTAATGTTCATGGAAAAGGACTAGTCCCCTTATCCATCTAATTGCCTGGAGTCACTTGATACATTTGGAACTGGGCTCCAGTCCTGTCCTCCCACCCTACATCTGAGTTTGGGATTGGCCTTCCTCTCTCTTCTGAAGGGTGATCACCCTGTGATTTTGTGGAGAAATCCATGCTGAGGGATGTGGAGAAGTAGAAATTAAGAGATAAAACAATTAAAGAATGAGGTGGTCATGGCAACAACATATGGTTCCACTGCTTATCTCTTCAAGAGGAGAGAGAGAAAGGAGAGTTTCTTCTCCTCAACAAAAAGAGATTAGAACTTCAAGGACCCTCTACAATTTTGGAGAGCCTCACTGACCCCCCTTTACTCTCCTACACAGTCATCATCCCTACCCTACAATGTGTCAGGTCCTGGTAATAATCTCTCCTATTAAGCTTGGTCGTCAAAACCACAGACTGCCTAAAGAGCAGGTTAGAGAGAAAGGGAACTCCTGGCTGGCAAGTCCAGAAGGTAGTGGTAGGAAGGCAGCTTGCACTGACATTATGTAACTTAAGGGAAACCTGTGGATTTTCCACAGCCATTTGGGCACTATGAAATGTGTCTGGATTCAAGGAAACATTACTGGGAAGGTCAGTTCTCTGAGAAGAACAGGAGGGACACTGAATATCACTGTATTTCATGAAGTTAATTCAGAGGGCAGTGAGAAGGAAATACTGTTTATCCTGGGAATAAAAATACTGGGAATAAAAGAACAGTGGGGCCAGGCATGGAAGTCTCAGGGCAGACCTGGGAAAGCTCAAGTGTCAGGGAATGACTCAATCCCCCGGGAAGGCTTTCTGCAAACAAGGATTTGGAGAGAGTGATACATAAGATCCCTCATTCTAGTCTCAGAATTCCCCAACAGCAGTGCCAGGCCGTGGTGGGAGATCACATCCACTGATTCGTGTGGGGAATGGGAATGTGATCTCAGACTGTACTGTGATGACCACTTAGGTACTTGCTGTCAGGCCCCAGTCACGTTCCAGTTGGTAATGGGAGGGTGAGGGGGATCATGGAGGCATGTAGAGGTTCTGCCTACCTGAGGAACCCTTTGTTTTGGCCCAGGAGATACTGGGCATTCGGGGGCAAACATCACCTATGTTGTGATTCCGTCAGAAGTTAAGACGTGGCTGCAAGCACCTGTGACCGGAAGTTTAGGGTCATGAAATGAGTCATGATATACACAATGCTTATACCTGGGCCCAGGTTTCTTCCGAAAAACTTACACATCAGTCATCAGCCTTCTAGGGCCCAGTTTTCTTACCATTTGGACCATACAGTGCACATATGTAGTTGCATCTTGCATACCCAGTATCTTTTCATTTGTGTCTCCTATGTCATTGGGTTCTGGTGGGGTTGGCATCAGAGAAGGATGTGGCTTGTCAACATAGCTTGATTGAATATTTGGCATGGGTTTTAAAGATTCATCTTCACAAACCCAGGGAATAAAGTGCATCAGGTTGTGCTCACCATTTACATACATGATGGTGCCTGGGTCAGAGAAAAATTCCATGTCAGGGTGTCCTATCCTTAACTTCACACAGTAGTAGGTGCCAGCATCCTCTGGCAACACGTCACTGATGCGAATGGAATAGTCAGTTTGATCGACTGTTGTGTTTTCCACTGGAGTTACTCTGGGGAAGTGGTTTCCTTTGAAACTATAGATTAATTGTTGTTCTGGCTCAGTGTTCTTGAACCACAAGACAGGCCCTGATGGGGACAGAGCAGACATGTTGCAGGCCAGAGTTAAGACATCTCCAGGGTTGACTGACACTAAAGTCTGGGGCTGGTTCGCCTGGAACTCTTCATCTGAAGTTCCTGGAAAAAAACTTGGACTCAACTCTCATGTTCTCTGTCTGGCTCAAGATGCTCTGAGGGTCTGGTGCTAGGTTAAGGTGGGATCTCAATATAATATCTTAATTTCAGCATCATGTGGTGGCGCCAGTCATATAAAAATTACAGTGCTGGGTGCCATGTGAGATGAAGGGAAAGGGACCAGTGTACAAATATGAGAATGGCACTTTCCTTCTGTATCAGGATATGAGGATGGCCTGCAATATATGAGGTACTGTATAAACATATTTTAAATGAATATATGAATATATTTTTATTAAGTGAGAAAATGCAAAATAGAATTTGGGTCATATTTTTTTTTAATTGTCTCAGTATCAGGGATACAGCCCAAAGTGAAGGACAGTGTGTTGATAACCAACATACTAAGTTCAGAGAGCGACTTGCATATGGAGGCAGGCAGCTCCCTCCCATGCCAGGCCTTCTATTGTATGAAAGGCCACTCATTCACCTCTCCAGAGTAAACACTGAGGCCTGCATGCTCAATGAAGTGGCTATTTTCTGTGAAAGGTGACAATTGCTTTTTGGAGTGTAGGAATATCTTAGCTATTACAATGGTTTGTTTGTCAATGCTTAATCCTATCCAACAAAATATTATTCCTTACTACTTAATTGCTCTTGTCACGTGTCCTTGGGTATCACACAAACTGCACTGACATTGAGTTAATGGCAGATACACAAACTGTCTACCAGATAAGTTCTCCAAAATTGCATTGTTATTCATGATAGACAAAATAGAGAAGCAACAGAAGTGTCCATCAATGTATAAATTAATAAAACTGTGATTATACACATACACACACACACACACACACACACACAGGAATACTACTTAGCCTTTAAAAAGCAGAAAATTCTGTCATTTATGACATCATGAATATTATGGTGTGAAATAAGCCAGGCACAGAAAGACAAACACTGCGAACTATATGTGGAATCCAAAAAAGTCTAACTCAAAGAAGTAAGGAATAGAATGTGGTTACCAGGGTCTGGGGTGGTGGGGAGTTGGACAAGGAAGTGGGAGATGCTGGTTAAAGCCTATAACGTTGTAGTTAGACACGAGGGATATGTTCTGGTGATCTGTTGCAGATAATGGTGACTATAGTTCATGTACACTTCAAAATTGCTAAAAGAGTAGATTTTCAATGTTCTTACCACAAACAGGGGATAAGCATGTGAGATGATAGATATATTAATTAGCCTGATTAAAAAACAAGTGAAAAGTATGTGAGGTGATGGATATATTAATTAGCCTGATCATTTCACTGTATATACATGTATAAGGACATCATATTATACCACATAAATATATACAATTATTGTTTGTCAATTATTTTGTCAAAACTAAAATAAAATGTGAAAAAACCATCAAGTTGGACACCTTATAAACAAATAAGTTCCACAAAACTATGGAGGACTTTATTTTGAATGGTTTTGCAATCTTACTCAGTGTATTCATTTTCTATCACTGAATTACAAATGACCACAAACTGAGTGGCTGAAAACAACACATATTATTTCACAGTTTCTGTCAATCTGTACTTCAGATATAGCTTAGCTGGATCCTCTGCTTCAGGGTCTCACCAAGCTCCACTCAAGGTGCCGGCTAGACTGTGTTCTTTTTTTTTTTTTTTTTGAGACGGAGTTTCGCTCTTGTTACCCAGGCTGGAGTGCAATGGCGCGATCTTGGCTCACCACAACCTCCGCCTCCTGGGTTCAGGCAATTCTCCTGCCTCAGCCTCCTGAGTAGCTGGGATTACAGGCATGCGCCACCATGCCCAGCTAATTTTTTGTAATTTTTAGTAGAGACGGGGTTTCACCATGTTGACCAGGATGATCTTGATCTCTTGACCTCGTGATCCACCTGCCTCGGCCTCCCAAAGTGCTGGGATTACAGGCTTGAGCCATCGCGCCCGGCCTAGACTGTGTTCTTATCTGGGGGCTTGACTGGGGAAGTGTTTATTCTAAGTTCACTCAGGTTGTTGGCAGAATTCAGGTCTTTGTGGTTGTAGGACTAGGGCCCTCAACTTCTAGGGGCTTCCCTCAGTTCCTTGCGATGTGGGCCTTCTCACAGGCAGTGTGCAAGATGGCTCCTTGCTTCTTTAACGTCAGAAGCAAGAAAAACTCTAGTGTGATGGATCTTATACAACTTAACACACTCAAGGTGATGACAGCACATCACTTTGGCCATATTCTATCAGATAGAAGCATGTCACACACAACTGAGCTACATAAGGGGGGGATAGTTGGGAGTCATCTTACCGTCTGTGTACCACACCCAATAAGTACAGTTAAAAATTCAAGTGATTTGGACTAGCTTTAAGAGTCTAAAGTTAGCTTTTACCTAAGTATTTTTACTTAGTCATCCTTAACTCTGCACTGAATAAAAAGAACAAGTTTTATACATACCCTTCCTATGTATAAAGTGCAGACAGATATAAATGCAGTACATAAACCAACATAGACTATATCTAAGTTATTAAAATTTCATGTAGAGGCTATCATGAGTTGAATTGTATGTCTCAGAAATATATGTTGAAGTCTTAACCCCAAGTAGCTCAGAATGTGACCTTATTTGGAAATAGAGTTGCTACAGACAAAATCAAGTTAAAATGAGGTCATTGGGGTGGGTGCTAATCCAATATGATGTTTGTTTTTATAAGGAGTGGAAACTTGAACACAGAGACAGACATACACAGGGATAAGATGATGTAAGGATACAGGGAGGATGCCGCCCGCCATCCAACAAATGTTTGAGGCGACCACTGCCAGAAGCTCGGAGAGAGACATGGGACAGACTCAGCCTCATGGTCCTCAGAAGGAACCAACCCTGCCCACAGCTTGATTTTGAAGGTCTAGTCTCCGGACCTGTGAGAAAACTTAATTTCTGTCATTTGAACCACCCACTTTGCAGTACTTTTTTAGAGTAGCCACAGGAATCTATACAGAGGAAACAGAGAAATAAGAAATTGAGTTTCACAGAAAGTGTAAAAACTGCCAGGGGCCAGGCGCAGTGGCTCATGCCTATAATCCCAGCACTTTGGGAGGCTAAGGCAGGTGGAACTCTTGAGCTTAGGGATTTGAGACTAGCTTGGGCAGCATAGTGAAACCCATCTCTACAACAAAGACAAAAATTAGCCAGGCATGTGTGCCTGTAGTCCCAGGTACTTGGGAGGCAGAGGCACGAGAATCACTTGAGCCCAGGAGGTGGAGGTTGCAGTGAGCCAAGATCACGCCACTATACTCCAGCCTGGGTGACAGAGTGAGACCCTATCTCAAAAATATATATAAATAAAAATAAAGTAAAACAAATGACAGACACTTTGATTCAAGAGGCTGGAGGGTGAGAGCCATGATAGGTGCTGTGCCCAGCCCTGCGACAGTAGGTGTGAGCCCTTTACCTGAACAAAGAAATGTGCAACAGACATGGCCACTGGGAGATTTTTTCAGAATTGGGGGACATCGCAGTGTAGTCTTCTGAAATCTGCCTGTTCTGGGATAAGATGGAGAAAACTCTCCCAAAAGAAATTCTGTGGGAGCAGGTGAGGGAGAGTTACACTAAACAGGTAGGGAGGAGAACCGACTATACACGCACCTCTGAGTTACTGCTGGAACTCACCACTCCCACTCACCTGCCAGTTTGAGCAGCAGGGACAGCAGTAAGGAAGGCAGAGGTGAGTGGAGTGGGGAGGCAGGGATGGGCATTGTGGTGAAACCTGGAGCTTGCTCTGCCTGAATCTGTCCTGGAGAGGCCCTGGACTCAGTGCTCTGAGCAGAGAGGACAGTTCTTGCTTCTGTGATGTCAGAGGAAGGGGATTGTGATGAGAGGAAGGGCCAGGGGACTGGGACACTTTTTCCTTTGTGATTATAAAATTGAACAGACAAGGTTGCTTTAAACTAAGAAGTTACTGCTGGAAATATTTAGTATTGCTGGGGCTGGGAGCAATGTACTCCTTCCTGAGTTTCATCCCATCTCACAGGTTCTCTCCAACTTAATGAACTTTGCCTATCTAGGAGCCTTAGACACACACATAGGCTGGACCAAGCCCACACCTCATGACAGGCAGATGTGGGTCTAGCTCCTGCACGAGCTCAATGTCTGGGTCTCTCTGAGCTGCACAGCTTAGCAAAGAGGCAAATGTCTCTAGCCTCACCCTCTTGATGATGAGAGTCAGACTTTACAGTGGATGCCCTTTCTTCCACTCCAGAGTTATTAGAGGTAAGAAACAAGCCCCGATGCAATACCGGCTGTCTGTGCTGAGCTTTTCTGTGGGTCCCTCCATGCAATACTAGGAACTGCTTGCTTTTTCCTTTCTGCAGAGGAATCAGGTGTGGCTGAAGAAAGTATTTGAGTTGTGGAGGTGGTGATGACTTGTGCTTTAGAGGATGGAGGGGGCCTGCAGGGAAGGCAGAGCTGTGGGGAACACTCTCCTGGAGGAAGAGTAACATGCCTGCAGACACCTGGGAAGGTGAGGGCTGCCTCTCCTGCTTGGGCTGGACCTGGGACCAGCTCTGGGGGATGGGATTGGAGGGGCAGAAGAAATGCTTCCAGAAAGAGGGAGGAAGCAGCATGTTGGCATCATTCTCTCTCAGCTCTGGAATGGGTTCTCTCTAAGCACAAATGCTATGTTCAGAGACTCTCAGCCCACACTCAACTGGTGGCCCTTTAATGTCCAAGCGTCCATAGGCAGGCATTGGCTGCCATGGTTATTTCTCCATTGCCTCCTCATGACTTGTGCCTTCTCCACAGGGAACGCCTAGATGTCAGGGCCAGGAGAGGTGTTAGACCCTCTAGGAAAAGAAAACAGAACCAGGCCAGCACATTCTCTCTGAGATGTCAAGACTCCCTGTCTCCTTGTGATGTCATCATCCTATGCCATTGTTCTGAAATGATGAATTCCACAAAGGAATTCCCATCCATAGCCCTGCTTGGAACTAGTCAGGAACATTCCTCCAGACTCCATTATCCTCCTCCTCCCCTACTTTGGGGAATCTTTTCACTTTTCATTAGACTCTAAGTTCCTTGGAGGGTCTTGTACTCATGGGTCGATGCCCAAGAGTGCCAGCTTTGACACGAGATATAATCTAGGTTAAAATCCTGAATCCACCTCCTAGGAGCTGAGTAATCTTGGGCTCATGATGCAGACCTGTATATCCTGCAATCATCTTGACATCTTCAATTGCATACTTTTTAAATTTTCTTTTTTGAGATGGAGTTTTGCTCTTGTTGCCCAGGCTGGAGTGCAATGGCATGACCTCAGCTCACTGCAACCTCTGCCTCTGGATTCAAGTGATTCTCCTGCCTTAGGCTCCTGGGTAGCTGGGACTACAGGTGCCCACCACCACGCCAAGCTAATTTTTGCATTTTTAGTAGAGACAGCGTTTCACCATGTTGATCAGACTGGTCTTGAACTCCTGACCTCAGGTAATCCACCCACCTCCCAAAGTGTTGGGATTACAGTTGTGAGCCACTGTGCCCGGCCCATTAGTATACCTTAAATATTCAAGTTTGAATTCCAGATCTGCACTCATAAACCTTATTTTCTCCCACACCATGCCTGTTTGTTATTTGGTACCATCATCTTCGTGTTTGTCAAACCAGGAAGGGACTCATGTTCTTTACCCTCACTTAACCACTTGTTACCGAGTAAAAGAGGCTCGCTGCCTGATGTGCTAGAAGCCAATACTGTGACACCAGGCATTTGAGAAAAGAAAAGCTGTTTTATTGCAAGTTGACTAACAGCAAGACAGGAGTCCAGCTCAAATCTAGCTGGCTTCAAGGGGGCAGTTTTATTAGAAAAAGTTTAGGGGGTGGATTCTGGGATTAGTACGTGATTGGTGGAAGGAAAGAGGAGACCTAGAAAGTTCTTGGCATTTACAGTTATCTCTCCATGCCTCTTCACGGCTCCCATGTGCAAAACTCTGGGATGTTCTTATAAAATGTGTGGTAGAAATTCAGGCTGTGACCTTGGCAAACTGATTCTGAACAAACTCCAGTTGGCCATGTTGGTTCCAATGGATTTTAGTTAGTTTTGTCATCTTACAAATGGAAGAAGTTTCAGCATTTCAGCAAGTTGTTTTTTTTTCTTACCCGCTATCCTGTAAACTCAAGAATTTCTGTTAGTAACTGGTTTCACACTCATATCTCGCCCTAGCAGCCCCTATTGGATTTACCTCCTAAATCCCTTCTGAATTAATCTCTTTCTTCTTCTCTATCATCATCTCTTGGCTGAATAAAAACAATTGCCTTCTTACTAGGCTACCCTCATTTTTATTTGCCCCCTGTAGCCTCTTTTTCCTTCTTCAGCCAGACTTGTCTTTTTACAGCATTGAGTTAATTATGTCCCTCTCCTGAATAAACATTTTGTGGATTCTCATGAACCTGGAAGTAATAGAAACAAGGCCTTCTTCCTTGACTGACCTGCTCCCTTAGAGACAAAGGGATCCCCACCTTTCCGACATGTAGCAAAGCCTCGTTGTCCCAGGTTGGGTTCCCTGGGAGACAGACTCTGGGGTGAAGATGAACAAGCAGGTTATTTTTCAGGGAGTACTTTTAGGATCAACACTTGTAGAAGAGAGGAGAGGGAAGCAGGATTGGGTAGAAGAAGCAGCTGGGCTGCAGTGAAGTCCCAGCGAAGACCTCAGCTGAGCTTGCATGGAGCCTGGTGCTAGGATGTTTCTCCAGAGTTGCTCTAAGTTAGGATAAGAGAGCTGGGCCTTTATAACATCAGGCTGATGTGGTATAAAGTGAGATGTGGTCTGTTTCCAGACATGACCTAAGCAAGGGCACTCCCTCCAGCTGAGACAATCCCAAATAGCGCTGATGCTGAGGACCATCTTCGCAAGCAAGTGCCTCTCAGCATCCATTACCCTCCTCCTGGGAACAACTTGTTCCTGTAAAGATTTGGGCTCAGGATATTATTCACTCACTCATAGTCAGATCCTGAAAGTTAGCCCAGCTCACCCACATAACCCAAAGTTCTCTGATCCCACAGTTTTAGATTTACAGAAAAATTGAGAAGACAATACAGAGAGGCTGGATATATTTGTGCACTGATTCCCCTATCATTGGCATCTTGCATTATTATAATACATTATTATGATCAATGAACCGATATTGATGCATTATGATTAATGAAAGTTCATAGTTTATTTAGATCTTTTCTTTTTACCTAATGTCCTTTTTCTGTTCCAGCATCCCATCCAGCAAACCTGTTACATTTACTTGTAGTATCTCCTCAGGCCTCTCTTGGCTGTGACAGGTTTTTAGACTTTTCTTGATTTTGATGACCTTGACAGTTTTGAGCAGTACTGGGCCCAATATTGCAGGATGCCTCTTCATGACAATTTGATGTTTTTCTCATGATTAGATTGGGGTTGTGAGGGGGAAGGTAGCAGAGGAAAAGTGTCATTTTCATCACCTCATATTAAAGGTACATATTAGTGACATGATTTATGACTATTGATGTTGATTTATAATTGTTGATGAACTCTTGATCACCTGGCTGAAGCGGTATTTGTCAGGTTTTTCTACTGTGAAGTTATTTTTTCTCCTTTTTTCCCTGCCGCACTCTAAAAAGAAGTTGCTCTGCACAGCCCACACTTCAGGAGTGGAAGTTATGTTACACCTCCTTTAGGATGGAGTGTATAAATAAATGATCTGGGACTCTTCTGCACTGGAGTCTTCTCTTCTCTCCCATTAATTTACTCAATCATTGATTTATATCGGTATGGACTCACATATTTATTTTATACTTTGGATTATAACTCATTACTACTTTGCTTATTTGGACTTTTTGCTGAAATTGTTCCAGCGTTAGCCTTTGGGAGCTCTTTCAGTTGGTTCCTGCACCGCTTTGATGTACTGCAGTCACTGTGGGTTTTGGTTTTGGGGTTGACTTTTTTTTTCTTTTTAGCATTTTCTTACTTTCTAGAGGATGTTGAATTTTTGATGGAATGTTTTACACGGAAAGAAGAGAGAGTAGTTTTTTAAAGAAAGAGCTTGAGAATACAGCACACAAGCCAAGGGATCAAATGAAGAAAAGTTTTCTTAGGAAATCTAACACCTAGTATAAACCAATGGCCTCAATGATGTATTCACTCATTTAAAAACATTGACAGCCTGTCATATGGCAAACACAGTTTCGGCAGCTGAGGATAGTGATCATCTCCCTCCACCCTGTGATAGAACTGACATTCTATTTGAGTAAGACAGACAAATACAGGCAGTTCTCACTTTGGTGCTGACGTGCATGCATTTAACTTACCACGGTTTAGTTAAGTAATATCAGTCCCACAACACAAGTCTCAAAATTTAGGTGCCATAGTAAATTTACTGTAATTTGCATAGAGTACAAACTTCTGGGCTAGCTCTTCAGTCCACAAATCACCATGGAAATAACAAAAGCTCATCATCATCAGTAACCAGTCATGTTGCTTCTTTCAAAGTCTGTTGGTGATTGGTTCCTATGAATCTCCTACTCAAACAGCAAAGCCTTAGTTGGTTTGCCTTCTTGTCTCCCAGTGAGATGAGCCCACGTGACATTTTACAGTAATGAAAAATTGAAAGAGGAATTTGGCAACCAAGATGAAGGTGCCATGAAGAAATGAGAAGTGAAAATGCTGCCTGTGAAGTTCAAATTAAATGTGAGTGGAATTCTAGAAGTACAAATAGTTGACCATGGCAATGTAGACCCTGATACAGGAACTTCAGAGAGGCAGCCAGAGGGATATAGTAAAGGCCAACTGCCACGAGTGGGAGGGGGTGGTAATAAAAGGGCTGAAGATGTCCCAAAGATTGAAACAGCAGCAAAAAACTTCACATGAGAGGATCTTCTGGAGTGATTTCATAACATTGAAAGTGCAAGAGATGAGATGTTGGAAGTTAGTTCAAACTTAGAGAGATGGCAAAACACCAAAGTATAATAGAAATGGTGCTTGACGGCTGGGCGTGGTGTTTCATGCCTGTAATTCCAGCACTTTGGGAGGCTGAGGGAGGCAGATCACTTGACGGTGGGAGTTCGAGACCAGCCTGACCAACATGGTGAAACCTTGTCACTACTAAAAATACAAAATTAGCTGTGCATGGTGGTGCATGCCTGTAATCCCAGCTACTTGGGAGACTGAGGCAGGAGAATCACTTGAACCTGGGAGGTGGAGTTTGCAGTGAGACAAGATTGTGACATTGCACTTCAGCCTGGGCAACAAGAGCAAAACTCTATGTCAAAAAAAGAAAAAAAAGGAAAAGAAATGATGCTTGCTTCATGTATTAGCCCATTCTTACACTGCTATAAAGAACTACCTGAGACTGCATAATTTATGAAGAAAAGAGGTTTATTTGACTCACAGTTCCACAGTCTTAACAGGAAGCCTGACTGGGAGGCCTTAGGAAACTTACAATCATGATGGAAGGAGAAAAGAAAACAGGAACTTTTTTCACATGGTGGTAGGAGAGGGAGAGAGAATAGAGAGAATGAAGGAGGAAATGCGACACGCTTTCAAAAAACCAGATCTCATGAGAACTCACTACCACAAGCACAGCAAGGGGGAAATCCCCACCCCCATGATTCAATCACCTCCTACCAGGCCCCTTCCCCCAACATGTGCAGATTACAATTCGAGATGAGATTTGGGTGGGGACACAGAGCCAAACCATATCATTCCATATCGGAAACATACAAGAAGAAGGCAAGCACTCTTTCAACTACTTTTGATACATTTTTACTAAGAAACAACACTTGAACTCTCAGTATTTCTAATAGTTTGAATTACAGTGCACAAATAAATATTTATTTCATTATATTTTCATTGTCCTCTACATTTGTAACTAAGAGTGTAGGATTTTCTAATATTTTGACAAAAAGTTTAAAGGTCACAGAATGGTCTTTTTTTTATTGAATATGGAGATTGCTTTCCTGGGTTTCAGGTTGCACAGTTGTTTTTGCAATACTGCACCGCCGTGAAAAGCGAGGGCTGCCTGTATTCAGCCAATACTGATGGAAATGAGGGCCAAAGAAAAATTAACTAGGATAAGAGAAATTAGAATGCTGGGATAGAGAAAAGAAATAATATTTTATACAGGGTAGTTTACAGAAGGTGCCTTTAATAAAGTGACATTGAACAGAGACTTGAAGGAGGGAGAGAGGGAGCCGTGCAGCTCTGCTGGGAAAGAAGCAAGGAAGTGATGATTTGACTTTTCCAAAGAATCGCTATGGCTGAAAAATGAAAGCCAGAGGAGTGGTCCCAAAAGAGACGATGCTGGCTGAGACAGGCAGAGGTGGCAGAAGTGAGAAGCGGGCAGATTAAGGATGTAACTCAGGGGTCCTGCAGCAGGCTTGGACTGGCCCCTGAAAACCAATTGTTGAATTACAGGAGTTCTGCAATCTGGTTCTTTAACTGTTGGTAGCTTGAAACCGGCCATGTTGGGAGTTACTACACTACAGAAATTGGCAAGCACGACAAAACAGCTTTTGATTTTTCCCTTTCAGAAAGTTCACTGTTAAACATTTACCACCTCACATAAGTGGATATAAACGTTTTGGAGGCAGAATTGAATACAGGGTGTAAAGGGAAGTCAAGGAGGACTCCAGGATGTTGGACTGTGGCAGCATTTCTACCATGAGCAGCAGGGCTTGGAAGGCCGCAGGATGCTAGGAGAAGGGAGAGCTTCTTTCTTTTTGCATGTGAGGGCTAGGACACTTGGACAAAGAGGAAGGAGAGTCATTTTTTTCTTAAAATTGTTATAGGGGTTCATGTGTATTCAGGAGGCAATAGAGAACCTCAACGAGGCTGGGGAGTTGGGGTAGGCAGTAATCCAGAAGACAACATAACTCTTGAGAGCCTGGAAAGAGTCTGTGATATAAAGTCAGTCCCAAGGCGATGGATGGGAGGAGTCCTGATGTGTTTAGATTTGGTGTGTTTCTCACATTCTAGGGAGGTGCCATGAGTGAGTGCCCTGGGCCCAATCCCATGTTCCCCATTCAGGACCAAGAATGAAGACCCTGCTCTGGAGCATCAAGGTCCTATGAAGGAGCAACAGGAGTCTGTGGGCAGGCAGATGTCCTGGGAAAGGACGCATTTGGAGCTCAGTCTGGGGAATCTTCTCACCAGCTCCTTCTCTCAGGCTGAGCCTCTCAAGAAAGGAAGGAGGCAGTAGATACTGAGGGTCTCACATGGCAGGGAAGGAGTGAAGGAACTGTGGGAAAACACATCCACATTTAGTCATCTGCCCATCATTCAAGAAATGTTTCCTGAGAGCCTGATATGTCCCTGGTGCTAGTCTCCTCTTGGGATGCCTGTTCATCAGGCAGGCCTGGGATAGGACTCTGCCAGCTCAGCCCTCCTCCCAAGTCCTGATGCCCCTTCCTCCCTCCCTTCCACTCAGGTACACAGAGGGTCAGAGTAGGAACAGCCCTAAGAACAGCCCATCTGGGGATTCTCAACATTACTCTACAGCAGGGATTCCTTTGACCCCATGGAGTCCCAGCAGTGGCCTACAGGGGACTACCCACTCAGTTGTCCTTCATTTAACCCCCTCTGACCACCTCTTCCATGGGACTCCTAGGGCACTGGGGACACCTTTGAACCTCTTCGAAGCATCCCACCTCCTGTAACACACTTGAGGCATCCCACTCCTGCACACTTCCTGGGGATTGCTAGTCTCAGGGTTCCCTGAGACTCCTGAATATCCCGAGGGAGCCCTGTCACCGTCTGTGAATTCCACTGACCCCAAACCTGCATGGCATGTGAGCTGGGCCCTCCTTCTGGCCTTGCCTGTCTGGGAAAGACTTGGTCAGTTCTCCCTCTCCCACACTTACAGTCAGGCCTTCTGTTTCCAGCAGATGTAGATGGCAAAGACACCAACCACCAGTAGTACCTTGGGGACCAGGAGGAGAGCTACAAGGAGTGGAGCAGTAGGAGCCAGTGCTGGGCCTGGAAATCAGGGAGGAACAGGAGCCATGAGAGGGGCCACCTGGTGCCTCTACTTACCCCATCTGAGGCTGCCTGTGCCCATCAACGCTCCAAAGCTTTTGAGCTGGCTTTCCTGACTCCAGCCAAAAGCAAAGGCTAGGGAAATGCCTCCTCATTCTCATTCATCCTGTTCCAGGCTGCCCGCTTATCCTCCTGGAGGGAAAAGGTGGGGAGAGCATGTACTCAGGTATTCATATATGTAGCAACTAGGTTCCTCACTTGATCCACCACAAGCCTGTGGGGCCGGGATTATTATTCCATTCTGATGGGGAAACTGAGGCCAGAGAGTTTAGGGAGCATCAGGTGATTAGTAAGATCCAAACCTAGGGAAGCCCATCACTATGTCCCCAAGGGTGACTCCTGAGTCCAAGACAAGCCCAACCCCCCTGGGTCACAGGAATGATTAGGAAAGGGTAGGCAGGTGGTGTGAGAATGGATTCAGAGTGAGAGAGCTGCATGCTGCCCTTCTTAGCCCCAGGGGTAGGGGCTTGACCCCACATTCGCATGATCTCAGGGAGCCCTCAGGGATAAGACCTAATGAAACTGGCCAGCTGAAAAATATCTTGGTGAGTCAGGGAATGGGCCTCTTGCTCAGAAAGGCCTCAGACATCATCTGTCCCACCTCAACCCCAGTGCAGATGTCATCTGAAATCTTTCTGTTGGATGCAGGGAGTCAGATCTATAGAAGCACGTATTTGGACTCTGCATTTTTAAAATAAGGGGTTTGGGATATTAAAAGTAACAAAAGTATTAATTTTTAAAAAATAAATAAAATGGTGCTGGTGGGTCCTTAAGGAAGGAATGGAGACCTCAGCATCTGTGGCTACTGGTGTGTGGGAGGCCAGCAGTTCTCAGCTGGGTGGCTCTCTGGGGCTTTCTCTCCCTTGAGGAGAGCTGCACTGCCCAAGCTTACTCCTTCTAGGGGGGAGCCCACATAAAAGATTGACTACATTGGGAGTATGAAAGGCCAGCCCCTCCCCTTAATTTAAAACAGCTCTACAGGACCCCACGGCCCTTGGCCTCTCTGCAGGAGCAGCAGGTCTTTGTCCTGCCTGCACTGTGGCTCAGCACCTCCCTCCTCCTACAGTCCTGCCTCCTCATTTGCTGAGGCCTGTTGACCTGATGGCACTCTAGGATGCTTCCTGCATTCCTGTATCCATCCCCAGTTGGCCTCCCAGAGAAACTGACCTTGAAAAGTGGTCTGGAAAGCAAACTCTCAAATATGAGTTTGGAATCTGATTACTCATCAGCTGGCAATGAGGACCCCAGGGGTGGTGGTGAGTGGAGCTGGACAAGCTGGTGCGATTGATAAAACTTTCACTGGCAGTAAACTGGGATAGTGTAACCACAGGAAGAAAAATTCCTTGGCATCAGGCTTTTGAAAACAGATTGGGAAATGGTAGTCATAAGAACTAAGGTTTTAGCTGTTGCTGGGCATCAACCCTTGGGAGAAAGACAATGAGAAGCTAAGAGTGATTGATCATGAGTTAAGGTTCAGTGAGAAGCTAAGAGTGATTGAAGATGAGTTAAGGTTCAGTGTGGAAGCCAGACGACTTCTTGGCAGCACCGTAGATTCTTATTTCTTGGAGCCACAAGGCAGAAAGAATAGAGGATTGGTTCCTAGGCATCATAGAAGAGTAGCAGGATCACAGAGGAGAAAGAATCTGAGTTTCAATGGCTGCTATGCTGGGATACGACCCTGATAGGGAAGCTGTGGGACCCTGAGATGTGGGAGAAGACATTTGGGTCAAAGCACTCAAAGATTGTCAGTTGACTGTGGAATTGCTGGGGACAATTTCAGTAGCGTAACTACTTGTCTCTATAAATATCCTCCCCAAACCAGAAGAAGGAACAAAAGAGGAAAAGTAAATTCTGTACAATCCAGGCTCTTAATACTACTTGAAGAGAGAATGCCAAACTGCAAAATGACTATGAGTCAAAAGGGAACACTCACCTAACCCTAGTGCACAGTCTCCCACTAGGCTCCCATGCCACCGATGCAACACATCACAGAAGACGACCTACAATGCATTTCCAGACTTAGCATGTGAGCCAGGATGCTACGTCAGGCACACTGAAAGCACCCAAAAATGGCAGCCCTGGTCTGAGCCCCAGTGGGTGGATGGAAGTCTAAAAAGCAAATGCAACTTCAGACAGATGGTGCAGATTCATCTCTTCCTGCTCCTCCTTGAGAAATACAACTAAGAACTCTAGAGATATCATGAGAAGCAGGCATAGGAGGATTTCCAAGGTGAAAAAAGAAGGCAGACTGACCAGGGACCTGAGGACTAAGGAACAGCCCTGAGGCCAGGCACCTGGGATGCCCCCCCCAATATGAGCCCCCAGCCATAGAATGTGACCAAAAAAAAGACATAGAAAAAAGAAAGTCTGAATTCAATAATATAAACCCCCACTTTAGGAAACTACAAGGAGTAGAGCAAAATAAATCTGAAGCAAGCCAAAGACAGGAATTAAAAAAAAAAAAAAAAGAGAGTGGAAATAAATAACATTAAAACGTAAAAAAATACAAAAAGCATTTGAAACAGTTGTTCCTTTGAAAGGAACAATAAAATGGAAAAAGTTATAGCAAGGCTGATGAAGAGGAAAGCAGAAATGGCCCATTTTAAATATCAGGATGAAACAAGGGCTATCGCTACAGACCCTGCAGACACCAAAAGGATTATAAGGGATATCATGAACAACTCCACACACAGAAATATGACAACATAGATAAATGAGCCAACACCTCTTTGAAAAGCACAGGTTACCAGAAATCACCTAATATGAAATGAATAATGTGAATAGCCCTAAACTATTGAGGAATATAAATTCATAAATTTTTTTTTGAGATGGAGTCTCACTCTGTTGCCCAGGCTAGAGTGCAATGGCACTGTCTTGGCTCACTGCAACCTCCGCCTCCCAAGTTCAAGCAATTCTACCTCAGACTCCCTAGTAACTGGGATTACAGGTGCCCAACAATGTGCCTGGCTAATTTTTCTATTTTTAGTAGAGATGGGGTTTCACCATGTTGGCCAGGCTGGTCTCGAACTCCTTACTTTGTGATCCACCTGGCTCGGCCTCCCAAAGTGCTGGGATTATCGGCATGAGCCACTGTACCTGGTTGTCAATTCATAATTTTAATACACCCCAAAATATTCTTGAGGTACAGATGTTTCATAGGAAAATACTACCAAACATTTAGAGATAAATTAAAACCAAATTTGGTGCACAGAATAACGGTTACAAAAGGAATTTGAGGAAATTGGAAGGTATGCTCCGTTTTAGATGATGTGAGAGAATTATTTTAACAATTAATTTAATCGTATAAAAATTTTAAATTTTATTAAGTTTATAATGATATTTGGTTTTGTAAAAAATGTCCTCAATCATCAGATCACTGAACTGTGGACTCCTCTTGAAACTGCATGTGCAGGCATGACTGAGTGAGCAGTGGACGTGACTATGCACCTTCCGTACATCTCTGATGACAGGGGACCTTGTTTGTCTTCCACTTCCTGTCTTCCCTCTTCAGCAGGCAGAGACGTAGACAAATCATGATCCAGCATGGACCCAGCAGATAAAGCCAATGCCATAGGGCATGTGGGAAGGAATCTGGGCCTTCTAAAAGTCTTCTGGAATAGAGACCCCCCTCCCCCTGTGTTACATGAGAGAGAAATAAGATGTATTTTGCTCCTATTGAGGGGAACCCTGGTCAAATTCACATCCTCAGTACAATGCCCAGCAGAAAGAGAACATTTCCCAGATTAGCATAAATTTACATTATAGGCTGGTAATGACCCTGTCCTCAGGACCTCAGACTTACCTTGATTAGATTAGACCAGTCATCTGGTCTAGTGCCTTGATCTAATTGTCTTCAACAATATCCCCCATTGCTTTCCATGCCCTGGTTTCCCCTTCTGCAAAACTCCAGACACACTGGGTGGTTGAAGCAGGAAAGGAGATCATAGAAGAACAGAAATTTGCACAAAATAGAGCTGCAGAGAGCCGCTGTGATTGTTATTGGTCAAAGATCACCATCAGAGCTCAAAGGAGGCCCATGCTTTGACCACTCATGGTCACCTGGGGGCCTGGTCCAGGCTTAAACTCCACTTGTCTTTCTGAAATTCATACAGTAGATGCCAGAGTCTGCTGGGGGCAGGTCACAGATATTAATGGAAAAGTTTAGGAAGGAACAGACAAGGCAGAGGTCAGAAGGAGAAGGGAGGAGGCAGGGTGGGCTGGTAAGAAACGGGGGTGTAACAACTGTCAGAGGAAAAAGCCAGAAGCAGGATGCAATGAACAGTTGATACCCTTGCCTCCTTCCTTCCTCATTTGATATATATTCATGTCAAATAATCTGTCAGATTGTACCTCAAACTCTTGCTAGTGATGACTCTGGGAGTGTGAGATTTGGGAGAATGATGCTGACTTTAAATTCGACTTTATATTTATAGAGCTCTAGCTTAATTTATGATAAGCATGAATATTGCTTTTGACATTAAAGAAAAAGTTAAAATTTTAAAATGGTAAGTAACAGCACCATGGGTAACATCTGAGCCTTGCTCCTTCCTGTGGGCTGAGACTTCCAGGCGAAGGCTTTTGCTGACCGCCGGCTGCCCATCATGCTCCACTTGGCAGGTGAGCACCACACCATCCCTGTGGACACAGGTGTTCACCAGGATCCAGCTTGCCCAGTTGTAGGTGCCATCCTTGTTCTCTATGAGGGTTGAAGCTGATTCTTTCTGGGACACGTTTCCGTTCTCCAACCAGGTCAGCTGTAGGCTCTGGGGGTAGAACTTCTTCACCTGGCAGGTGACGTTCACCTGGTTCTCTGCCCTCATGGGCTGTTGAGTAACCTCCAAGGTGGGTGGAACTGAAACAGCACAGGGCAGAAACTCTGACCTTGTGGCACAGACAGGTCACAGGGAGGGCTCCATAACTTAGCTCCCACCACCATGGTGAGGGGGTCCCCAGGACAGTGCTAGGCAGGCAGCAGGGGCTCAGACATTGAGGGGGCTCTCTGCATATGAGTGAAATTACTAAGCACAATGCCTCGCACACAGCAGGTGCCCGAGGACTGATAGCTCCTACTAGACTAAGAATGAGGGAAATTTACAAGCACAACCCTTGGCATACAGTTAGAATGTAAGAACTGTAGCAAAATCAGTGAAATCATCAAGCACATACGGATTTGGCTCCTAGGAGGTGCTCACTAGTTGCAGTTGCTCTTGGTGAAATAAATGAAACTCTCTAGCACAGAGCTTGGCACATGGTTGCTGGTCCCCGGACAGCTGCCATTAAAATGATGATAAGTGACCGGCACACCTAGGTGCATGGGAGGTAGGCAGCACAGTTAGGAATTAGATTCTAGGCCATTCAAGCTCTGGAGCAATGACCTGGGGAGTGGGCAGTGGGCTCGGCAGCCAGGTGTGGGCTTGGGCTGGGAGTGAGGGTCCTCTACCTCGGATGGCCTCAGACAAGTTGGCAGTCCCACGAAGAGGGTCTCCCTGCAAGGTGACGTGGGCCACCTCGCAGATGACCTGAGAGCGAATGTCCCCACGGGTCAGTCCCACCCTGGTTGTGCTGCGGATGCTGTAGGACACGCTGTCTCCTGCGGGGTCCACGGTGGTCTGAAGGGCTGAGAGCTCATTTGCATTTTTGAACCATTTCAGGGTGATGTCTCTGGGGGAGAAGCCGTGGGACTTGCAGGTGAAGCTCACTGTGTCCTCAGGTGTGACCCTCGTCGCAGGGCCTGACACCACGGGGGCAGAGGGTTTGGCTACAAAAGGATCATCAATAAACAGCAGACATGACTGAGATGACCATCACTAACGATGAGTGTGTGACACGCTAAGAACCTTCATGGACATTAATTTTAATCCTTCTAATAATGTGGAGAGGATGGTGTTCTTATTCTCATTTTACAGAGCAGGATGCAAAGGTTGGAAGAAGACCAGCCCCAGGTCAGACCCTTGAGTAGGGGCAGGCCCAGAGGGAAGTCCAGGCCTGAGTTCAAAGTCCTCTCCACACAGGGTGACTTCCAGCAATCTGGGCATAGGAACAAAATTAATGATTAGTGTCCCTCTGTGTTATTAACTGGCTCTAGCTGGCCTTCGCCAAAATCTCAGCAACCTCAGAGAGGGTGTTTCTAGAAGCCAATGCGGAGAACAATAGCAAAGTGGTATTGCCATGAGAGCTGTAACCAGGCTGCTCAGTCCAGGAGAGGCGTGGCCTGGCATATCCAGCTCTTCATCTGTAAAATGGGAGGACAGCGTTTCTACTTCCTGGGATGCAGCCAGGATTAAATGGGGGCAATAGAAGCAGTTAGCTCTGGATCAAACACTAGAACATGCTTCTCAAAAATAAACACAGATCTATCTTTAACCCAGCCTTTACAAATAGAGAGGTCTCTCTTTGATTATTACAAAAATATGAATTATTCCTTATTTTTATTCTTTTCACAAATATTTCGGTCTGTCAAAAAGGCATTAATTAAGGCTAAAGCTTTAACATGGAGCCAAGCGTTTGTGAGGCCATTGCACTCACAGCTGCTAAACGTCAAGCCACAGGACGCTGCTCTAGACCTGGATTTCAAGTGAAGCCAAGGTCCGCGGGATGTTGATCTCTCTCTCATCATGGATGACTTTAATTAAATAACCAATGAGAATAGGTTTACAGTTTAGGTTTTTTGACCAGCTGATGAACCATTTCCAAAAACAACCTTCTGTGAAAGTCTCCTATAAGAAACCTTTCCTGCATTGCCATATGGGACACTATTCAGAGTTTCACCGACGCAGTGTACCCAAATTGCAACTCTTTATTTTTCAGATAAATGCTATTTCCTTTGGCCTTTCTAACAATCGTGTTTTTAGTTAGCAGGCCCAATCTGCTGCAAGACCTAAATTTGAAAAGAGGACTTTTTTTTTTTTTTTGGAATCTGGATCTTCAGTTAGGTCAAGATTGGGTCAAAAACAACCATCATGGAGTACTAAGAAAGCCAGAGGTGGTTAATTTTTTCATCGTTAATTAATGACAAGAGACAAAGACCCAGGCCACCCCAACAGGCAGAAACATATTCTGGGTCCGGAAAGCAAACAAATTGGAGAATCAGAACAACGAGGGTGGTTCCTCCCCGTGGATGAGCTTTACGGGTGTCTGCAAACTGCTAATTGCTACCTTGAACCTTCTACTGTGGTTCCAGAAAGCACGTATTATACGTTTACCTTTGCAAATATTAACTTGCTTTCTAACACACGTGAAATATTTTGAGGGCACAGTAAGGAGGGTGTCACTTGAGATGTCAAGTCTTTGAGACACCAGCAACATGGGTGTCCCTAGGGGGCTGAGATGCTGTCTTCAGTTCCGATTTATTGAGGGCTTCTTGGCAGCCTGATGTCAGCTGCTCTCTCTGTACCTCTCGGCTCTTTAATCCTCCCTCTAATTCTTAGAGGGGGTCCTCGTGTGAGCCCTTTTATAGGGTGAGACTCTGAAAGGATGCTTGCTGGCCAAGGTCCAAAAGTAGATAAAAAACCTACCCTGGGTACGATGAGTGAGGGTAAGTTCAAGTGCATAGCCTGGTATGTAGTAGGTGCTTAATAAATAACCCCTGCAACAGGAATTATGAGGTTTGGTCATCGCTGCTTCTGAAGCTTCATAGCTATTCTTTAGGCAACAGAACAAAGAGGAGCAGAAACACCAAGGAGGGGTTCAAACCCTGCTCATTGCAGCTGCCAGGAAAAAAACCCAAATGATAAAAGGAGCAGCAACCACCACCTTTGGTGATTTGGTTTCTAATAAGATCGCAGGTGAAGCTGGAAGCATTTTGGTAAGACAGAGGGAAAAGATACCTCAGTGACATCTGGGAGTGCTGAGGCAGGAAGGCTTCTGGGGCTGAGGAGTGAGGATTTGCTGGGACTCCAGCACGTGTTTAGATACAAACATTTTCAAGACAGAAGGTTCCCCAGCACTGAGGCTGGATCTGAACGAAGCTTTGTCCAAGTCTCCTGTCTTGGGCCCCGAGGCCAATAGCATGGGAGGGTCCTGTCCAGGCTTGTGGGGCCTCCTGATATGTTCCCAGCATGTCTGTTTTGAAGCACCCATGACCCCAAAAGCTGTTCTCAAAGCCCCCAAACCTGGGGCACCACTTTTGCTAGGTGGCTATGTATGAGTATTTTCTGGAGTCATTAAGAACTTTAGATGTCCAGGCCCATGTTAGACCAATTCAACTGGCATTTTTGGGAGGGATCCTGGGTCCAGGTTTGTAAACTTTTTGTTTTGAAAGTTTCCCCAGTGATTCTAATGAGCAGCCAAGGTTGAAGGCCACTGGACCCCAACCCTAACCCCATTTATACCTGGGGCCTAGAGATGCACTGACCTATCTGAGGTCACACAGCTGCACCCTAACACAGCTCACGTTTATTGAGCATTTACTGGCTGCTAGGTGACGCCCTAAGCATTTTACATGATTTAACTCCTTCAGACTCTGCCCAGTCTGTGAGGTCAGTGTTACTATCAACAGGTGAGGACATCCAGGCCTACAGTGGTGGAGCGCCTTGTCCCAGGTCACAGAGCCAGGAAGTGGCAGAGCCCAGAAGTGGCCCAGGCAGCTGCGATCCTGCCCGTGCTCTCCTAACCACCGTTCTGCAGAAGCTCAGTAATAAGCCGAACACCACCACCATTAGGAGCTCTGTGCACATCCCCTCCAATCCTCACAGAACCCAGAGTGGGGCCGTGATAATCAGTGTCGCACAGATGGGGAAACTGAGGACTCAAGGGAAGGCAAGACTGGCCCAAGATCACACGATCTTGAAATAACCCCTCACTTTGGGGGTGCCTACAGTGTGCTAGGTGATTTACAGAGAGAACCTTAAATGTTTTCCACTTTCCTAAAGGAGTCCATGAATGTCCATTCTACAGATGAGGAAACTGAGGCTGAGCAAAATGAAGGCCCTGTCTCCTCATCCCCCATGTGTCCCAGTGGGCATTTCCTATGTCCCACCAAGCACTTATGTCCATTAACAGGAAAGTGTTTTAACTTCTCGAGCCCCAACACTGACCACCACCTCAATTGTCCCTTTGAGATTCTAGACTTCATGCAATGTTAGGGAGAAGCCTCCCTCCTGGGTGCCCAGGCCTGGTTACCTTGTCGCCATAAACCAAAGATAGTGGGCTCCTGACAGCCAGAGGGGAGCATCTAAACTTGTTCACATGGGCCTCAAACACTCTCTAGGAAATGCCTCATCTTCTCATCCTTAGGCCTCAGCACCATGAGCGGGCAGGCACGTGCTCTGCTGGGCTGCAGGAGACTCCACTCTGCTCCATGGATGCTGCTGAGTGAAGGAGAAACAGCACAGCAGTGGTGGGGAGGGAGAGCCCTAAAGACCCGTGTGCTGAGACCCGTCCTTTAGGAACAGGCTTGATGTTTCATAAGACATGTGCAAGCCCTTTCTGATGGGAGTGTAAAGTCGGCGCCTCCCACCCCCACAGCGCTTCTTGTTTTGTTTTAATGCTTTTTGCTGTAGAATTGAACAATACGAGAGTTTAGAAAGAGAAGGTTGGAGCATTTCTCCACACTTGAAAAACCACAGCTGAGTGTTGCAAGGACAAGGGCTATAAGTCAGGCTGGGGGGTTCGAGCCTTGGCTCTCTGACCTGCTCCCAAATCAGGTCTCCTCTCTGAGCCTCAGTGTCCTCGTCTTTAAAGGAGGTAGCAAATGGCTCCTCCCTCATAGCACTGGTTATAAGGAGACTCTGGCACAGCTGCTGTATCCCACCTTCCTCTTTTCTCACTCAGCTCATCATTTAGGCCAAGAGCACGGCAAAGAGGAGTGATCAGTTTACTAGGAGTTAGCAGATCTGAGTCGCACCTGAGTCACCACTGGCTGTGACTGCCTGGGCCGGGGAGGCACCATCTGGAAACTTCAGTGTTTTTTGCCTATATGATCTGCACAGTCAGGGTAAAGCCACCCTCCCCGTCTAAGTTCAAGTGTTGTGGGGAGCCCTCATTGCTACATCATCTAGGACGGAAATTAGGCAACATTCTCAAATATGAAAACACACTATCCTCTGACCTAGAAATGCCAGTTCCAGTGGGCATCTCCCACCAGAGTAGGCTGACGCATGTACAAGGTCATCCACTGCAGGATTGTTTTAGTAACTCAAGGTTGGGAGTAACTTACATATCTATCAACAGAAGGTTGTGAAATAAATTTTGATATTTCCATAAATGGGAGGTTTTTTCAGCTGTAAAAAAAAAAAAAATGGAGCAGCTCTCTATGTCCTGATGTGGAATCTTGATACAGAATGACAGGACTTACATGTGGGAAAAGTTTACCGATCCCCAACGGGCTTTTGTGTCTGAATGTGAGGAGCGTTCTGAACCTTTGGGAAACTGATGAAAAAGAGAAATGCTGGCTCTCTGACCCGTGCTTCTGTTTGAGGAGCGTTCTGAACCTTTGGGAAACTGATGAAAAAGAGAAATGCTGGCTCTCTGACCCGTGCTTCTGTTTGAGGAGCTTTTATTTAGCATCTATGATGTACCAGGCCCTTCTCTGGAGACTGTGTCTAAGAAACACTGGGGAAGGAAGGAGACTGCCTCGATTCAGATACGGACGCTGGTTCCAATTCTGTCAATAACTGGCCCTGTGACCATGGACAAGGACCCTGTCATCTCTTTGCTTCAGTCTCCCACGTGTAAAGAGGGTTGGGCTGGATGATCTGAAGGTCCTTCCTGTGCTGATGTTCCGGGATTCAGGAGTTAGGATGAGGCTCCTGGGTCTCTGGCAGGAAACTCCAAATAAGCATCATTGCTGCCTTATATGGGGAACCCCTCAGTCACCCACATGTGGGACCTCTTTCCTGAGGGGAGGGACATTCTGAGATGACACAGTTCTGCTCAGAGCCCATGGGGACTGTGTGACTCAGTCCCCTGATTCTCACAAGGGTTTCCCAAATGGACCCACAGCAAATGCCAAACTTATGGGCATCTATTCCCACCAGGCCATCAGATTAAACAGTGAATCGGTGCCTCCCAGGAATGTTCCTCATGTGATGTTTCTGAAGGTTACATAAAGAAAACATGATTTACCCTCTCCATGCCCTGGATGGATTTCCCCTCTTTACAAGAGAAGAGAATGTAAGCTTGGTGGGGGAGGAGCTGTTGGTGGTTTCATTCACTGCTGAATGCACGGCATCCAAGCAGATCCTGCACACAGTGGGTTCTCAGTGAGTGCCTGATGCATAAAGAGGAGACTTAGCCACCCCGAGGGCAAGTATTCCCTGAAGGCAGAATGCACATGGAGAGAATATCTGGCAACTTGCTTTATTATTTTTCTTTTTTCCTTTCAAACTCAACTATAAACTATAACTCAGCCTTTGACGAGTCAACTCAGATCTGTCAAAATGGAAGTGAAAGGTTCAAGCCAGTGATGGACAGGTAAGCATTTTTCCTTGGTTGGTTCCCGGGAATGAGTCTGGCTGGGTTTGGAAATGGGGAAATGCACTTTGCCCTCTGACAGCCCTTCTGCAGGAGGAAGGTGGCTGATGAAACCTGGCACTGAGTTTGCCCTTTTTGTGGTAGCAAAGCTGGGGCTGGGGCTGAAGACAAGGTTTTCTCCAGGCTTTCTTAGGTTTTTACTAACACGGAGGGAGTTTGTGTCACAACAGGACAGTAGAAGAGGGGGCTGGAAAATAAGCACTTGGCATGTGGTAGCTCAAAAGATAGCTACTGGAAGAGTGGAGGGAAGCCACACGGTCCAAGTGTGGACACCAGGGCCCCATGGTGAACCCCATTACCCAAAGCTGCTCATCCAGAGCCTTTCACAAAAATTATAATTCTGTTAAATTGGAAAAAAGAGCTCAATGTGCGTATTTCAGTGTTAATACTTCCATAAACTAGGTCTTCTTGGACCTAAAAGATTTGTTGAAAAATAAATTGTTGGCTGGGAGCGGTGGCTTACACCTGTAATCCCTGAGTTTGAGTCACTCTTGACCTGAACAAGTCACTCAACTTCTCAGTTCCCTCATCTATGGAACCAAAGGGCTGGGTCAGATTTGGAAAGACAAGCTGTAGAGTCACAGACTAGGGACACAGTCATTCCCATCATTTACAAGACAAGGAGCCTCGAGCGACTACCATAAGATCTCCAAGCTCAACTCATGTAATCTGTAGACCAGGCTGACATCAGATCATAAAAAGGAGCACCCACCAGCACACCTGGTCATGGCTCAAAGAACGGAGGGTGTTATTATTGGCTTATTGTCACAAACCAGGGGATGAAGGAGGCCCACGCTGTACTCACCCCGCACAGACAGCTCAGTGCCTGGTCCAGACTTCAACTCCACGTCAATAGGGCTCGCTTTCCGGAACTTCACACAGTAGTAGGTGCCGGCGTCTGCTGGGGTGATGTTACTGATGTGGATGGAATGGTCCATGTTGTTTCTCTTTGTCTGGTCTAGAACAGCTGTTACCCGGGGTAATTGGCCTTCTTTTTGATTATAGATTAATTCCCGGCCTGGTCCAGCTCCTCTGAACCACTGGATGGGCCCCACAGGGACCAGGGAGGTCATAGCGCAGTGCAGAGTGGCCGTCTCTCCAGCTGTGACCGACACGGATTTCTCAGGCTGAATCACCTGCAGCTCCTCCTCACCTGCCACTCCTGAAAGGAGCACAAAACAGTCATGTATTTATCCTGACTTGATCTTGTATGTTTCCCCATGTTTATCAAAGGCTTTAATTGACTGGGTGCACATAAGGAGCAGTCTTGAGCTCAGCACACTACACGTATTATCTCATTTAACTCTCCCAACCTGGCCTGTAACATAAAAAGATTGTATTTTTTTTTACATTATACTTTAAATTCTGGAGTACATGGGCAGATCATGCAGGTTTGTTACATAGGTATACACATGCCATGATGGTTTGCTGCATCCATCCCCCTGTAATCTACATACCTTTCTCCTAATGTTAGTCCTCCCCAATTCCCCTGGCCCCTGCTGTCCCTCCCCTATCTCCCACCCCACAACTGGCTCTGGGGTGTGATGTTCCCCTCCCTGTGTCCGTGTGTTTTCATTGTTCAACACCCACTTATGAGTGAGAACATGGAGTGTTTGGTTTTCTGTTCCTGTATCAGTTTGCTGAGAATGATGGTTTCCAGCTTCATCTATGGCCCTGCAAAGGACATGAACTCATCCTTTCTTATGGCTGCATGGTATTCCACGGTGTATATGTGCCACATTTTCTTTATCCAGTCTACCACTGATGGGCATTTGGTTGATTCCAAGTCTTTGCTATTGTTAACAGTGCCGTAGCTTTCACCTCCCAGCCTGCAACACTTTGTTATGGAAGCCCTAGGAAAGAAATATGGACCCAGTAAGCGGCAAATGCAGCACTGCTTAAAGAGGAGGAGGCCACAGAGAAATGGGTGGTAAGAATCAGGTCACAGGGGAGGGAGGAGCATGGAGGGACACAGGACAAAGTAAGGAGCACCCTTAAGGAGGACAGTGGCTAAACATCCCCAGGAAACACTGCACCCCTGCCCTACTCAAGCAGGTGCCATTTCAGACTTCACTTCCTCTGGGTGGTGGTTACAGAAGGCTGGGCCGGGAGCCACACAGCCCTCTCAATCTGTCTCTGAGCTTGCCCTGTCCTTGGGTAGGTTGTTTGGCCCCAGAGTCTCAAGACTGATAAAGATTTAAGTAATGATTGTCCTGTATTTGTCAAATGAAATATTATCAAAATGTAAGTAATTGTGGTGGTGATTCAATCATCCTGTGACTCCATGCCTCTGGTAGCCAGCTGCTGATCCACAGAGAAAGCACTCAGCTCCCCAATTTCCTGCTCTTAGCCCCATCTTTGCCCCATCCTATGACTCCATGCCTCTGGTAGCCGGCTGCTGATCCACAGAGTAAGCGCTCAGCTCCCCGATTTCCTGCTCTTAGGCCCCGTCTTTGGCCTTCCTTGGCAGCATTTGTGGTTGTTTGGAATTCCCGGAAGTCCAGGGGCAGAGCATGGCCCTGCAGGCCAAGGGAAAGGGTTCTGGCCCTGCAGGCCAAGGGAAAGGGTTCTAGCCCAAGGCAGTGCTCACCTGTGAGTCCCAGCAGTAAAGTCAGCAGCCGGAGAGGACCAGGAGGGTGGGGCCAGGAGGCTGGGTTAGGCATCCTGGAGACCTCAGGAGCCTGCTCTGTTCATGGGGAGATGCCAGGCTCTGCTCTGAGAGGAGAAAACAAGCCCTGCCTCCCTAGATTCAAGAGGAAGTGGCTATGATGGTGGGGATATCACAATCTTGCTTCTAGATTGTGACATACAAATCAGGCACAGCAGGCAGCTACAAAGCATGGTTACTCATGCTCCATTTTCAGCAGAATCAGACAGGCTTATCTCAAATAATGCTTCCCCCTCAATGAGGCCCGAGTTATCTCCACATGGTGCCCCTCCCCATTTCAGGTCTCCTTGGTGATCTGCCAGTTGGGGGTCTCATGCCAAGAAGATCTGTAGTTGTGAGCTGTGCCCTAAATGCTCCATCTCAAGACCCTAGGATGTGGTTGGCTTGTGGCTTTGTTCTGTACCAGCCTCAACCAAGTGCTACTCAGCAGGGGGCAGGAGGAGGGATCACAGGACCCTCTTGATGTTGAAGAGGAAACAAGTCTGCTCTTGAAATGATTCCTTATTCTAACCTTTTATTGATATGACTGGTGAAACATAGCCCAAATTCAATCTAATCTGGACTTTGGCACTTTCATGTGCCCGCATCCGGCAGAGGGAATCATTTCCCGAATTCTTCCAGGAGAGGGAGTAGTTTTAGTTTATTGAGCATCCATTTCGTGGGGTGAAGTGAGGAATGTGGTTTTTAAAAACAGGATAGGTTTATGATTCAGCAGAATATGGCGGACAGGTTTCTGAGGCCATCACATCAACTTTAGTACACTTTGTTCTGCACGGAGGACCTAATTCATTCACTGTGTTCGGATGGGAAATGGGGGGAGAGTAAGGATAAATGCCCCGACCAAGAGGGTGTGCTAAGGAGTTGGGGAAGTCACTGGGGCCACCTGTGCTCAGTTTTGTTCTCTAAACTGGGGGTTATAATTGTTTCATTGCACTGTTATCATGGAGATTAAAGACAATAATGACTGTACCATGCCTGAAACCCAGTGGGTCATTATTGAAACTCATGGTGCCAGGTGAAGATGGGAAACTCAAATGATGCTTCTGAATGGATCCCTACTGCATGGCATGTCTTTCTTCCAGCAACCCAGACCTCCTGAGACCCACAGTATACGGTGTACTTGGACTACCCCTGCCACACGGAGATCAATTGCTTTCACTTGGATTCTCTGCATCCTGCTCCATACAATCTACAGAGTAATTTGTTCTCTCACAATTTCCAGCTCTGTGACTTTCAAGAAGACACTTGACTTCTCTGAGTTTTATTTTGATTGAGTGTAAATAGGGGTTATAACATGCACCAACATACACCTTGTAGAGATGTGGTAGAAACAATGTAAACCGTAATGAATGCTTGACTCACAATTAATTTTAACCACAAAAATGTGACTAGTTTTTTTTTTTATGGGAAGGGTTCACTGCTTTCCTGCCACAGTTGTGCTTTAGAACAGCCACCTTGTTAGGAGAAATGGTTTCTCTTGTATCATCTATGACTAAGAAAGACCTGTCTGGAAGCCTCTCTGTCACATGCTGGGTTTTAGATCCTTCATCTGACATCAGTAATTGTCAAATGAAATTATAAAGGTTATCATATTTTCATTCAAAGTTCTGTTTAATGTGGCAAATGTGCACAGGGTGAAATCTCCCCCTCCTACTTCATACCCACAAAAATGAAAATGAAAAAGTATAAAATTATATTAATCCCTGTCAAATTACACTTAAAAACAAGACAATAGTCTCTATGTGACATGAAGGAATAGTAGCACCTATCATTTATTGGAGATGTCCTGTGCCCCAGACATGGTGTCAAGCATTTTATGTCGGTTATCTCATTAACTCATCATTCTGACTCCATCAGGTAAGCACTGCCACTAACCCGCCTCCTTTTACAGGTGAGAAAACCTGAGTCTCACAGAGAGTAATGGATTTGCTCGAGATCACTCAGCTTTAGAACTAGAGCATAGGTTGCCACACTCCACAGACTTTACCTTCGATGTTTGCACTATGAAATTTCTCACAGGAAAAAAGAGACATCTCTTAGGAAGAAGCGGAAAAGAAGCCATAGCCTCAATTAGGAACAGACCCCACAGTGAGGCCATGGCAGGTGCCATGCTCCATGAGGGCCTGACAACACATGATCACGTGGGGTGGGGCATTATTCCTGGAAAGACATCAGTGCAAACAGGAATAGCTAAAGATTCGGGGAACAGCAGAACCATAGGAGATACCTAACCAATCCAAGAACAACAATATGTCAAAAAACAGCAATCAAAAAAAACTTCACAACTGAGGACATAGGACAAAATAAAATATAAAAAGGTCTTTAAAATTAGTATATGTAGTAACTTTATAAAGATAGCAAAAGGAAGTAAATCCATAAAAATACACCAGGGATGTGTGAAACAGAAATAGGCAGGCAGGAAGTAACAGGTATACTGGAAAAATAACAAAAAAGATACTTTGCAAATGAAAACATAATTAGAGAGGACAGTATTAAAAAATGTAATAGGTTGACTAGGTGACTATATACACGTAAGTAGTAAGTTAGTGAGTTGGGGGATCATGTGGGGCAATTACTTGGGATCCAGCACAGAGACACCCAACAGAGTAATGTAAATAGGTATAAATACAGGTATAGCATAGGACATCTCACAAAACAGGTCAAAAATAATGTTGCCAGAAACAGGTGAAGAGCTGCAGGCGTGCAGAGAGGTGGCAGTGCCCAGGGTTGGCTCTGCAGACACAGTGATGATGGCACTGCAGATATTTCACTGCTTGATTTAGAAGGGGAGACAACTAGTAGACCAACGTAATCCAAAATCAGACATCCGGTGACACCACTTTTCCTGCAGTCACCATCTATCTTCTCTGTGAACTGCCCAGCAGTAGCTTTCTTGCCTGTGTGGTGACAATGACCTCATTGTCAGGTGATTTTGGGCAGTGAAGAATGTCACTGGTAGAGAAATTATTGGACTATGTTGGTGGAATCACACTGATGAAGATAGAAAGGGCCATTAGGAATTTGAGTCCGGGGAGGCATCCTGTCAAGAGAGTAAAACTGTCTTACAGGCTGAATAAAGAATCTTCTGGTTGGGACTTGTTGCCTGTCAAGTGCTGTGAGTGATATTTGCCTTTAGTGCCTGGTTTGATTGGGCTCTGTGTCCCGACACAAATCTCATCTCAAATTATAATCCCCATTTGTCAAGGGAGGGATGTGGTGGGAGGTGACTGGATCACGGGAGTGGTTCCCCCATGTTCTCATGATAGTGAGTAAGTTATCACAAAATCTGATGGTGTAAAAGTGTTTGGCAGTTCATCCTTGTTCTTTCTCTCTCCTGCCGCCATGTGAAATGTTCCCTCCTTCCCCTTCCTCTTCCACCATGATTGTAAGTTTCTTCAGGGCTCCCCAGCCATGAAGAACTGTGAGTCAATTATGCCTCCTTTCTTTATAAATTATCCAGTCTCAGGTAGTTTTTTTGTTGTTGTTGTTTTGTTTTGAGATGGACTCTCGCTCTGTCACCCAGGCTGGAGTTCAACGGCACAATCTTGGCCCACTGCAACCTCAGCCTCCCGGGTTCAAGCAATTCTCCCACCTCAGCCTCCTGAGTAGCTGGGATTATAGGCACCCACCTTCATTCCCAGGTAATTTTCATATTTTAGTAGAGATGGAATTTCCCCAGGTTGGCCAGGCTGGTCTTAAACTCCTGACCTCAGGTGCTCTGCCCACCTCAGCCTCCCAAAGTGCTGTGATTACTAGACGGAGCCACTGCACCCAGCCTCAGGTAGTTCTTTATAGTAGTGTGAGAACAGACTAACACAGAACAGACTAATCACGTCCAGTGTTCAACCACTTTACTCTGAAGGAGAAGTGTTTGAACGTCAACCACTTTACTCTGAAGGAGAAGTTCAACCACTTCTCCTTCAGAGTAAAGTGGTCGAACATGGGACGTGATGAGATTTCCCAAATAGAGGGAGGAAGTTTATATGTTTTATTGTGTTGGGGAACAACCTAAGAGATTCTTGATTCTGAAACTTTTAGATCTCAGTTTATATTGCAACAAAAAGCATTGGCTTTTTTTCCCCCACTTAATTTTATTTAAAACAAAGAAAATACTTTTCATATTTTTATTTTCTTTCCAGTACTTGGGGCTCAAAACTGTGTTGTCATTACAAACGTCAACATTTGTTTAATGGTATACAGAGGTATGCACATGGTCGTGTAATATCAATATATCCCAAATTAACCAAAGCTTGTTTATTGATAAATGTAATGAAGGCCTTTGCAATTTGATCCATAGAACATAGGATGTTCTTAGTCCATCTGAAAGCTCTATGTATTTACAGATTATTTCTTTAGATTATTTTCAGAAGCAAGTTTTGTTTCCATGGTATAAGTGAGCACTTTGGCTTATGGGTAGGTTAGAAATAATTGTTAATTTTTAATACGTACTTCATGGTAAAATTTCCTAGAAATACACAAACAAGTAAAAACCCAGTTTAGGCCATTGGTATTACCTAGTTTCTAAAATTGTGTTTATTTTCATGTGTAAGAAATAATTTACTTAAGGCCCAACTAATATAAATAAAATCATAGTTTATGTTTCGGGAATACCAAGAGATTGGTGCTGTTCTATTTATTGTGTAAAAAGCAAATCAGATTTTTCTTTGGAACCTCCTGGAGCTCTTCATTGCTCTTTGACCTAATGAAATTTATTTTTTATGACTAAAAATGAATTATTCTTATGTTTTAATGATAATAATCATTTACATACTTCACATAATGGCTAAAGATACTTTATTTTATAAATCTATATTTTTTCTTACTATAATGAGAATGTTATATATCAGGCATTTGTATGAATGGTATTTCTTAAAGCAATAGATGTTATTATAAACTAAATCAATGTGCAAACTATTGTAGGCATCTGTAAATTGTGTTGTAGGTATAAACTTGGTGGAGTCTTTTAATCAGCAGATTGTGTTGTGAATACATTTGCACATTGTTAAAATATATTTAAGATGTTTTGCTGATCTTAATAAGCTTTTTTATTGAATGATAGCTTTGAAGGTGCAAAATGTTACATTTACCTACA